ATGAGTTTTTTTTTTTTTTTAAGAATATAGGGTCATAAATATTGGGATGATGACATGAAACTTTAATCTTTAGAAAAATATTTGTGGCTATCCTTAGATCATTGAAAAGCATTATTTTCAATATGGCTTTTCCAAAGTATCTCCGTGACGGAATAAATAGATTGCCTAAAAACAAAATATGATTTCATAATCAATTCAGAAGGAGTAATAGAAAAATATTTGTGGCAGTCTTTGGTCATTGAAAAGTATTCTTTTTTAATATGATTTTTTCAAGTCAATTAGCCATCTCGATGACTTACCTAGAAACAAAATGTGATTTCAAAATCAGAGGTGTGAAATAACATCTTTTTTAATGCGAAGAATCTAGATTAAATTATTGTGTAATTATTCATGAGTTTGACATAAATAGAATAAACAAGTTTTGAGTGGACTTGATAACACAAAATAATTAATTAGCTTCTCTAATATTTATTGAATACCATGAAAAATAAATATATTCCTCTGAAAAAAATGAAAAATAAATATATATTTTTTCAATACGGAGAAAATATAATTCAAAGTCCTTGATCAAAACTAAAATTAAACAATGTTATTTTATGGGTGAATTAATAAATCGTATAAAATTCAACTATAAGGACATAAAGAATCAAGTCATGGAAATAGACAAGCTTGACTACGGAAATACTCAAACCTAAATATAAAATTAAGCAGGTAAAAAGGTATTCAAATCCAACAAAACATGATAATAAAAATAAAAATAAAAATAAAAACATTTTTTAAGCCCGACAAATGTGAGGAGGTAGAGATTTGAACATTTGATTTTATGTGAATATCATCATATAACTCGTTCTTTTAAGATTATAGGTTCAAATCTCTATATCTCATATTTATTATACTAAAAAAATCAATATTTAATTATAATTTTGAATAATTAATTCTTTTTAAAACTCTGGTTTAGAATTCTTAATTTTTTTTTTTGAGTTCAACAGTTGCGAGGTAGGAAATGAACTGTCGACGTTTAAAATGGTAATAAGGTTTTATCTATCTAACTCTATGTTCCGATTAACATTAAAAAGTCTACGTTATACAATAAGTAACAACTTTAACTTCTTTTGGGGTCAACACCAATATGAGGACAATTATTCATCGAGATGACAACAATTATTTACTCCTAGTAAGTGAAAATAATGTAGAAATGTTAATTCCTTCTCATGAGACTCATCTTTTTTTTTTAATTACAATATGCATAGGTATAGCAAAAATACGGTTGAGAGCCCTAACTAATTTCTATAATTTGATACGTAAAAGTGACGGGAAGGCTACCATTTTCCCACACTGTTTATTAATATACATCCATAGAAAAAAGTTTGGTTACGAAATTTAAGTTGGAGAGAAATAATTGTGCGCCTCATTTATGAACAAGATCCCCTCGGATATCAAATTTATATAGTTAATGCAAACTAGAGTTACGTCAACTAAACAACTTTCCATTAACTAACTCACCTTCCTTCTAAATAAGAGTACTCTAACATAGATCAAATTTGAATCGTGTTCAGCTCTCTCGATCGTATGGTAAAGAATAAGTAAATGCTCATTTGATAATGTTATAATTTTTTTGTTTTGTTTCTTGTTTATAATTTTTGAAAAATATAAGTGTTTGGTAATTAAAAAATTAATATTTAGTTAGAAAACAATTTTTCATATAAAAAATGTACTTCTACTAATTTTTAGAAATATTAGAGAATAAAAAATAATAAATGGTTACCAAAAAATATTTATTTTTTTCAATTAAAAAATTAGAAATAATAAAAATTACCAAGTACAATTTTGTTTATATTTATTAAAAAATAAAAATTAGAAATTAGAAAAAAAAAGGGTATGTTTGGTAACGTTCGATTTTTTGCTTTAATTTTATCATGAAATTTACGCATTTGATAACAATTTGCGTTTATCATCTCCAATTTTATCAAGAGATTTAAGTATTTGACAATTATTTATGTTTGTTGTTTCTCATTTCTTATAAACATTCTCAAAATTGTATAGAGTTTTTAGAAACAACCAAAATAAATTTATTGTTTATTGTTATCATTTCCAATTTGCTCTAATATAAATAAAAATATGATTTTATCATTGTTGAATCTATGAGTGTTTGGCGTCACATCATTCTATTTTTCTTTATAATAAGGAGTAAACAAAAACAAGAAACGATAACAGGTCTCAATTTTTTCCCCATTTCTAATTTGTTTCAACATATGTAAAGATCTCGTTTAACCATACAATTAATTTTTTTAATTAAAAAAGAAGAAATACAAATGTTATTAAAGAGGTCATAGATTACTTATTAAAGCACTTAATTTCTGATTCTGAACCTTTTTAGTTATAGGAGATTTCTACAATTTCAGGAAGTATGTCTTTCCGTATTATTCCATGCATTTTCCGTAAATGTTTTGAAATTTTAATTTCAAAAAATAACTCAGTTTTTGTAATTAATTATTTTATAACTTTTTATCATTTCTTTTTTTATTTATACTATTAATAATAATTTGTTCTTCTAATAAAAGTTTATATAGTTTTTATTAGTTTATGTAATTTTATTATAAAATATTACAAATTTATATTTAATTTTTAAATTTAATAATTTTACTTTTGTTATTATTAATTAATAGCAATAGAATTTTGAAAATTAGTATTAAATATTAAAATAATAAAGTTCAATAATATTTTATATTAAATAGTGGGTGTGGTAATAAAAGTACTACATTAATGTCATTTTATTTTAATTATTCATATTAAATAAACTGTTATAATAAAAAATATATACTTACTATTACTAATAGAGTAATAAAATAAATTAAAATTTATTATTATTGTAATTAAAAAATTAGTACAATAATAAATTTGTAATTAATTAAAAATAAGAAATATGTATAGGACCCACTCTCCTATTAAATCTTGGTTAAAATATACACTTAGTCCATGAACTTTCATAAAGTAACGATTTAACCATGAACTTTAAAAAATTACAATTTAATTCATGAACTTTCAAATTGGTAATAATTTGTTCCATACCGTTAAATTTCTGTTGGGAATTTACCAGAAAACGTGATGTGGAATGCCAACAAGCATTTATTTCTACACATTGAAATGAAGAGAAACAGTCGTCGCCCACACGACTCTCCCCACCCTTCCGATGTGAGTTTCGGCTGAACCAGTTGGCCGGATTTTGGTGCTCAACACCAAAATCCCACAAAATTTTCTTCGCTTCACCCCACAGTTTTCTTCCGAAACTTGTGGGTTAGGTTCATTTTCAAGTTTCCCTTTATTCTTTCGCTGCCCCAGGCCAAAACCATGGGTGGTTTTCTGTCAGCCCAATACCACAATCTGTCCTCCAAACGAAAAACCGGCTGTCCACCCTTCATCTACATACTCTCTCAACTCCATTCTATTATCCCCTCTTCAAAATTATAACATTCTTCTGAGTTTAAACGACTTTTTAAGGATTAATTAGTTTCTTTTTCTGGGTTTGAATCAATTTCTGGAATTTGTAAAAAAATTGAGGGAGGTTCGAGTAAAAAATTTAAGGGAACTTAGTAGTTCAGGCGGCGGCGGTGGTAGTGCAGGGTTGGTTTTCGGAATGAATTCTGAAATATTGGGATTGAAATTACCTCTTCATTAAGAACATATTGCTATTTCGTACCAATCCACCTTATCTGGCTCTATTACACACTTGAGTAAGATTAAACAAGCTTTCTCTTTGTCTTCACTCTGCGGCAAATCATGGCAAAATTTCTCTTCCTCCTCTCCCCTTCAGAATTCTCTCATAATTTTCATCCTCGCCGTCGTCGGWAGGGTGGGGGACGGGGCACCTTCTTTCCTTTCTTTCTTGCTTTTCTTTTTCTTTTTTTTTTTTTTTCTGAAAAAGACTTAGGTGGCCTTAGTTGTTTGCGGTGTCCACATCAGATTTTTCTGTTAAATTATAATGAAATTTTAAAGATGGGGACCAAATTATCCCCGATTCGAAAATTCAAGATTAAATTGTTACTTTTGAAAATTCAGGGATTAAATCGTTACTTTAATGAAAGTTCAGGGAYCAAATGTATATTTTAATCTTAAATCTTCTCCCAGCGCCCTCTTTACTAACCCACGCGTTACACTGTTTGCCTCATTCCTGATGTGATCCATCGAGATTACTCTATTGTCCCCTCCGATTTTTCGAGCTTCTTCCACAATTCATGTGATTTCACTAATGCTCCGTTTGGTACCTCAGATTTGGAAGGAATTCAAAACCATGACGGATTTCAAATGAATTCCACTCTTTGGTACCACATGATTTTGAATTCGATTTCAAATCCTATTTTTACTTAAAAAATTTTCCACATCAAAATAGTCGGATTTTGCAAGATTGGATAGACTTTCAGAGTAGATTACCTATTTAACCTCGTCGTATTTTAATTTCTAATTAATAAATTTAGAATAAAAGCCTAAATCAGTAAAATTTATATATTTTTTTCATTTTCGGTGAACGTCCAAATAAATAAATCAAATTTAATTCATTTTTACAAACAAAATAAAGAATTTCAAATCATTTCTTGGATTTCAAATCACGAATTTAAAATAATTTCATCAACTTTCTTGAGGCAAAGTCGACCGTAAACATCGTGCCTCCCCAAATTTAACAAATACTTCGGTCAGAAATAGATGTCATAACCATTTAAGCTATGCTCAGTAACAAACACACCATTATTCCATGCAAAGTGAAAAATATTATAGCCCATTGGGCCGCCTGCCAAACCTTTCTTTTCTTCCGCGCGTAAATTTAACGCATTACATGTATGAAACCTGAAATTATTGGACAACGAAATAAAAAATCTGTACTTTTGAATACTACTTAATACGAGTCTAAAAACAGTATATTCGTACTAATATAATATATATATAACCTTTTTTTTTTCTTTTCCCCTTACTATTGTGATATGAATTTAAAAAGAGGCCCATTTATGTTCTTATCCCAAAAATGGATCCTAACATAGTTTTTTTTAACCTATCCAAAATCTTTTAATTGTTATGTCACGCTGCATTAATCTCTAATTAATATACTAATCACGTCTAACAAACCTCAAGTTGCTAAATTTTTAAAGTTGAAATACTAAATAACCTCCCAATAATATGATTCAGTAACAAATTGCTACTTCCAAAGCACCCATTCCTTCCGCTCAAACAAAACAAAATATATTACTGATAATTAAAAAAAAACTAAAAGTCAAACAATAATTAAGTCCTTAAATTTTTAAATTATTGTTTAATAGATCTCTAAACTTTCAATTTCGTGTCTAATAGATTTCTCAAGTTAAAAAAATATTTAACAGGTACTTCTAATATGTTTTGAACTTTAATATTGTGTTTAACACGTATCGGAACTTTCAATTTTGTATCTAATAACTCATTGACCTATTTAACAATTTTTGAAAAAAGCTTCGTCGTAAAATTGAAAGTTTAGGTTCTTACACACCAACTTCAATTTTATATCTAATAGATTCCTTCAATTAATCTATTAAACACAAAATTAAAAATCAACAATTTATTAGATACTTTTAAAATTAAGGAATTTTATTAGACACGCTATTAAGTTATTAAATACTTTTTCTACTTAAAAAAAATTATTATTCTTAAACATCTAGACTAAAATACGTAATTAAAAAAAGACTTTTCGAAATGTAAAGGGAAAATAGAAAATTAGTAATAACTGAAGAAAATAACCAAAAAAAAAAAAAAATCGCCTCCTCTTCTGGGAGAAAGAAGACATGCGTGTGACTCTGTCGGGCTGTGTGTGAAAAAATTGAAAATTTCAACAAATTTTGAAATAATTTCGATTTCAACATTTTTAGACGTCCCGCCTCCGTGAAGCTGAGGAAAAGGAGCAGCCGCGTTGATCTTACGCTCGATAATCCCCAACCCCAAAACCCTATTTCTCTCTCTCTTATCCTCTCGATCTTTCTACCTCTACATTTGCAATTTATTCGAATCCGGATCCTTCGGTTTCCATCGCAGCAGCCGATTTCTCCTTCTTCTTCGCGCTCTATTCCCCGTTTTCCAGCTGAGCTGCGGCCACAATGAGGAAAGGTACTAAGAGGAAGACAGCTCGAAAAGAAGAAGATAAACCTGTAGAACCTAAGCGCAAAGAAGCTCCGTCTCGAGCCAAGCGGGCCAAGCTCCCCAAACCCGAATCCGAACCCGAGTACTTTGAGGACAAGCGTAACTTGGTATTGTATTTTGTGCCACACCCCTTTTTGTTGCTGTTTTAAACTTTGATTGTCGTGCGCTACTATGGGATTTCTTGCGTCACTTTGCTGGGTCTTGAATTTCCACTGTCGTGAAGTATTCTGAAAAATTGACGTTGGTAATTGATCCTTTTCGGTGCCGAATTTTGTGGATGGTTTCATTTGCTCTTGTGGGTTTCTTGAATAATTAACTTGCGCTTGTAAATTAAGCTCGGTTTTACTTTTGGCAAGCTGTTGGGCTGGAATCAGATGCTTGTTTTTGGTAATTTGATGTTACCTGCAATGGGGTTCTTTTTAGAAATTCTAAGAGTGTATGTAGATTGCGAATTTGTGTTTTCTTGTTTCTTTTCATTTGCGAATGACATCGTAAAATGCAGGAAGATCTGTGGAAAGCAGCATTTCCTGTTGGGACAGAGGTTTGGCATAAACTATGGTACTTGTTTCTTTTTTAACAGAAGTCTTATTGTTGTGTTGCTTATGCATTCACATGTTTTTCTATGTCAGTGGGATCAATTGGACACGGTTTATCAATTCAACTGGAATTTCTCAAATCTAGAAGTGAGTTCAAATAATATAATCTGTCAAAGTCTAATATCAGTTGGTTTTTCGACTTATATTGGATGCATTAGAGTTAAATTTACTGGGGATATAACATTTGTCATTATTGTCAGGATGCATTTGAAGAGGGGGGAAAGTTGTATGGTGAGAAGGTTTATCTATTTGGTTGTACAGAGCGTAAGTAGCTAACTAAGAATCTTGTTTTACATTTTCAAACTTATACAAGACAAATTTATTGAGGTCCAGTATATTGTTTCAACCTCCGTCAAAAGGAAGGCAAGCCTGAAAGAACTTTTCTTTCACCTTACCTTATTTTTTTAGTCTATTTATGTTAATTCATGTTTGTGCAGCTCAATTGGTTCCTTTCAAGGGTGAAAATAAAGTTATATGCATACCTGCTGTGGTGGCTGTAAGTTACATTTCTTTTAGTTTTCGTATATCGTGTTGATTGTTTTTGTTCTATACAAATACAAAGGCTTCTTTATATAACCAATTAGTGGGTTCTTATCCAGATGCTAAGACAACCTTAAAACTTTTTGCTTTTAAAATTTTATTTTTCATTGCTCATGGTGTTTATGTTATGATTTTTTTCTTTTTCTTTATGTAATACCACTGGCCTTTTGGATTCTCTCGTGTCAATCTGCGGCTATTTTTAGCCTTGTGAATTGACTGACTGCCATATAACAAATTTCAAATTGAAAGAAGTTATCGGCTAATTATTACTTTTCTCATTTGTTGACAAGAACATGTGGAGTATACACTTTAAGTTTTAACATATTGCTTCCGAATCTTTCTGCCTCTTCAAACTTCAAAGTGGATATTTCCTTTGAGTATATACTTTCTAAAAGTCTGGATGTTTAACTTAATTTTCTAAAATAATATTTTACCCAATTCACGGGATTTAATTCCTATGACTATTGGTTTTTGCGGCTCTATAGGTTGTATCTCCTTTCCCACCTTCTGATAAAATTGGAATAAACTCTGTTCAAAGGGAGGCTGAAGAGATAGTTCCCATGAAACAGATGAAGATGGACTGGGTTCCTTATATTCCTTTGGAGAAAAGGTCTTAATTTGTGAATTTTTCTTAGCCTCTTTTATATTCTAACTCTAGTTTTTTAATTGACTATGCAATCTAATTCTTCTTCAGAGAGAGCCGAGTTGATAAGTTGAAATCTCAAATATTCATTCTCAGTTGCACTCAGAGAAGGTACAAATATGAGTTGCCTTTCGCTGTTGTGTCGCAGCAGTTAATTTCACATTTAATCTATTCATTTTTAAAATGCCAGTCTTCAACAAAAGTGTGTTTATTGCTAACTTAAAATTTTTTAATTTAATGACACGTCATGCGTGATGCTCATTCAAATTGTTTCTGTAGAGCTGCTTTGAAGCATTTGAAAATAGATCGTGTCAAGAAATATGAGTATTGCTTGCCCTGTAAGTTCTTCTATCTATTTGGTTGTTCTTAAAAATTTTATGATTGAATTTATTATATGAGAAGAGGAGCTGTGAGTTCTTGGGAGGAGCAAGTGAAATATCTTGAGAGTGAAACTGATCTCTAGTTGTAGTTTTATACCCATGACACGTTCAATTCTACTTAGTTATAATTTCTTGATTTTTAACGCCATCTAGAAATCCAGTTAATGATTATCGATTTATTTTATACCAGTCTGTCTTATCTTATATGTTGTTATTTTTCTGATAGATTTAAGGAAGATGAATTTAAACAAAACTAAAGTAATTTCTAGTTGTGGTTTTCTGCCTATGACACTTTCAATTTTACTTTATATAATTTCTTCATTTTAATGTCATCTAGAAACCCAGCTCATGGTTATCATTAAATATTATGCACGTAGTTTCCCGCCCTTGCAGTTCCAATTATACTTAATGTGATTTCTTGAATTGTTAATGTCAACTAGATGATCCAGTTAATGATTATTGTTCAATTTTATACAAGTCTGTCTTATCTTATATGCTGTTATTTTTCTGATAGATTTCTACCAGCCTTTTAAGGAAGATGAATTTGAACAAAGCACTGAGGTTCCAATTATTTTTCCGATTGACCCAAAGCCAGTAAGGTTTTAATCCATGCTATTTAAAAATGCTCCTAAATGCATAGTGTGTAGGGAAGAGATTAGTTGAGCATTGTTATTCACAATCTGAAATTTATATGCTTATATTTTCAGATTTTGATGCCCATTTGGATTAGGATGATCATGCAGGGGAACTGCAAATCTATATGTAAGTTTAACTTTTTTGTTATCTGCAGGTTTTCTGTGAGTTTGATTGGGAATTAGATGAACTCGAGGTACAAGATGTTAATTCAAATGGCTGTCTTGATTATTATCTTTGAATAATTTAGGCTGCTGGTCGTTTATGAAATTTTTCTTTAAAGGGAGATTTCCCTAGAGTCTTATACGCTGTTTTCAAATTTCCTCAGGAGTTCACAGATAAGTTGATCGAGGAGGAAGAATTATCTGAAAGTCAAAAGGACGCCTTCAAGGTAGTTCATCTAGTATTGCAGCCAAGTTTCAGCTATTTATCTTTATACAATCTTACCTGATGATGGTTCTCGACTTTTTAGGATTTTGTAAAGGAGAAAGTTAGAGAGGCCAAAAAAGCCAATAGAGAGGTAAATGTTGTTAGTCATTTTGATTTGTTATGAGCAAGTTTAGCGAGTAACAATTACATGCGGATCTTATTCAATTTTCTTTTTCAGGCTAGGGAAGCACGGAAAAAGGCCATTGAGGAAATGAGCAAAGAAACTAAAGAAGCGTTTGAGAAGATGAAATTTTACAAGTTTTACCCTGTACAAACGCCTGATACACCCGATATATCTAATGTTAAGGTAAGATTGAACCTGCTTTCATTCTCTTGGCCAATGATGAGTGGAACATGTTGAACTTGAACTGCATCTTTGATAAATCTCATTCTTATTCATCAACAATGGGTAGAAGCTATAGGAAGACTTTAGAGAGCTTCCACCTCTCTCCAGCCAAACTAATAGTAGACGACCAAAATCCTATGCCCCCATCAGCTAACATTCTATAAATACTCCCCATAGTTCACTCATCAGTTACATCATAAGCGTATTGTTATAAAGTTGGTACCTTTTAACCAACTCGTAATCTAAGTGCTGCCCCCTCCTCTTGGCTCATTTACTCGTACACATTTACAATTGGAGTCTTATCAATCTTAAAATTATTTTCTCTCACATTATTTTTGCCTGCATTTCTGTAGTGTCTAATAATTTTGGCCTTCCAGGCACCATTTATAAATAGGTACTACGGAAAGGCTCATGAAGTTCTGTGATCTTATACCATGGCTGGCACAAGATAGAAATTGATATAAAGCTCCTTCAGGTTCAGATTTTGTTCAACGTTTAAAGGTACTGTTCCCATTATGCTGAAATTTGTGATGCCAATGCCTTCCAACTTATTACATCAATCTAGCGATGACGGGATCTTGAACAGTAGCCCTCCGAAATCCTTAGATAGACTGCTGTAATATTTAGGATCATGCTTTCTTTCTTTGATCGTTCTTTCTTTTTTGAGATTTCTTCTTTCCGTCAGTAAAAAAGGACTTTAGAACCTCACTGACCTCTAGTTGGAGTATATTGGTGTAATTCTGTTCATTATTCCATCCATCACTTCAGTTTTGTATAACCATAGTTTCAGTTCTACATCCTCGAGAACAAATTATGTTACCTGCTTACTGCACTTGAAATGCCATTACACATTTTTACAGTATTTGAAGGATATTTGTTTTATTCCATTTGTCAAATAATTTGTTCAGTTGATCTATTGAATTTCTGAACTGGGCTAGATTTCAGATTTCAGCAATTGGAACTGGGTTAAATATTGACATGCTATTCTAGCTCATGTTTTTTTTTGTGCGGTGTGATTTTTTGTTTTCTGAGTACAATAATTTGGGATATAGAGGATCGAACTTCCGACTTCGAGAGAAGGAATACATAAGTCAGAAGGAATACATGTCAATTACTGTAGAGTTGGTAATTTATGTTTTTGTGTTGTTCAAACTAGTACTTGTATTTGATTATATTTTTATTTAGTTTATTAGACTGTTGATGTGATATACTTATTGGTTCATTGAGTTACCTGTATGATTTTAATTCAACTTTAATATATATATTTTTTTTGAGAAAAACTTTAATATATTTAATAGGCGTATTATGTTGGAAATTTATTAATGATATGAATTAGATAGAAGTATAATTTGAAATTTTATAGAAGTTAATAGATCAAAATAAACACAATATTTAATGTTAAGTGATTTTACTTTTAACCATGGTTCTTAATATCTGCTGATATTTCCATCGATGTATCCATGTTTTCATAGGTTTGATATCGATATGAGGAGTAAATTGACGTTTCCATCATAGTACAAGAAAATGGACAAAATATGAAAAATATCAATAAAATATCTAATATATACACAATGGTAACATTAATTATTTTTAACTAATTTAGAAATAGAAAAATATGTATTTGTTAATTTAAATAATTTTTTATGAGTTTTTAAATTTCTAACTTTTATTGAAATATCATTGATATTTTCATGAAATTGAGATCTCGATATTTAAAATCTTGCCTTTTAACTGCTTTTCTTCCATATTAGAGTTTTTTAAATTTGAGTTGGTAGGTACAAATTATCGCTCATAATTTTCTTAAAAAAGTCCTTACAAAAAGGGCTACATAAATTTGAAAAGTTCAGTACAAAACGCTTGAAGAAATTGAGATTCCAAACCTCTAATCTATCTCTTTTTTGGCCTAACTATACAAAATAAAAAAAAAAAGAGTCAGTTGTAAATATGCCAAAAATATTTAGTAAAATTAATAAAATAGTAAGAACATTTAGTTTTTTTAAATATAACACTTTTTAAAAAAATAGGTGTCTAATTTTAAAAAGAAAATTTTACTCAAATGATATACCTTTTATAATATATTTGATTATTGATATACATGTAAAAATTTTTGCTATATTTAAAAATTAAAAAAACTTGTGACATATTTAAAAGATTTTTTTGATACCCAACACTGATTTTCCATCATTGGAGCAAAAATCTAAGATTTCAATTATAATATTGAAAGAGGCCGAAAGAAACTCGCGCGAATCGGTAGTATCCAAATTGGTAGCAACTCGCGTTGAGGACCGTCGGATCGTGTGAAGAACGAATCAGACAATGAGAATCAAACTTGGCATTAATATTCCAACTCAGTTAAGCTTTTGACTGATGGAAGGAAGACCTTTTTTTTTATTCTCTTTTTCAAATTAAAATTAAATTTATTTCTTATCATGCCAAGTGTCGCAATGTCAAGACCATTTGCCAGATATTTCATGATTAATGTTGCATTTTAATATTTATTATTTTAGGAGTTTTATCTTTTACCCGAGAAAGTAAACATGAGGGAAAAAAAAAAGAAACTCTCATGAATTCTTTTATCTAAAGAAAACAAAAAGGTAATTGAAAGAGAAGTTAGATTATAATTACTTATTTTTTATAACCATACAATTTTATTAATTCAAATCCTCAAATTGATATACAACCCTACTCACGTATTTATAATAGGATAAGACAACTACAACAAGTAATAAATTTAGATACCTAAATCAAGGAATTGAAAACCTAAATCATATCCTAAATTATATACTAGTCGTAATTGGGATATAATTCAAATCATATCAATATTCAATTATGCAAAAAAGAAAAAAAAAACAATTTGGATAACATTCAACATCTAATTAAAAAATAGAGCCTTAATTAACCTAGAATAATTATCCTAAGATATGTATCACCAAATGAAAAAGTTTTTAGATATTCTATCAAAATAAAAACAATGTACAATCGAGTGATCTCAAAAATATACCAGCAACTTGCAAAGATGCTTCAACTTCAAAAGTATTGCAAGAAGTGATGGATGTTGATTAGAAATTGGACATGGATATTAGTTCCATTATCAATACATTACAATCTAATAGAATTCAAATTAATTAGTTCAATTATTCAATGTCATAAAGTCAGAGTAGCAGTAAAACGATTCCATAAATAGATTCGAGATTGATTACAAAGAAATATCCAGAGATTGTTTGTTAATAACTCAACTATTGTGGTTGTATATACTATAGTTATTACGATAATTTTAAACATAATCCAACTGGTTAAGACATATATCAAAATAAAAAACTATAACGGTTACTTTCAATTGAAGAATTAAGTAGCTAGATAAAAGGAACACATTTCTATTTTACATTTACATGAAAGTGTTTATACATGAAACAACCAAATTAAGGCATGTTGAGTGTACAAATTTTCTAGATATGTTTGTTAGTAGCATACAAAAGTTCAAAAACTTTGGTCCATATCGGACTTACATATCATAAGTTAATCTATGTGTTTTATCTTTTTATTTACCAGCTGCATGATATGATTCCAATTGAAAATGACTAAAGATGATGCCAAACTAGATTTAGTGTTCAATCATAAAGATTTAGGTCATTGTATTAGTTCTTTGATTAGGATATTGATATGATATTCTATTGAAACTCAACTCCACTTTTTGAGACTTGCAATTTATTTGTAAGTACAAAAATATGATTGGAAAACTCTATTTGAAGAGATCGCGACATGATGAAACATATTGTTTATTTTTAACAAGTCCAACTACAACTAGAAAGCATTAAAAGGAATTATATGAGATATCTCAAAGGTATACACGACACTTCTTTCTTCAATCTTCATAATCTAACCAATTGAAAACTTCAATTAGAAAGGGGAAGATCTACGGTAAACAAGTGAAAGACAAATATTCATTGATATAAGACTTTTTAGATAACTTTGTAACTTTTACCCATCAACTCAAGAAGTCATAACCCCTATACTTTTTCTTCTTAGAATATTGCAAGTCAAATTGGGAACAAGAATTTGAACCTATGACGTTAAAGAAGGCCTGATTAAATAATACTTATTTAGTTCGGCAAACAATTATAATATATGATATTAGATATGAAAGAATATTTTCAAGGGGTCAAACTACTATATTCCGGAAAAAAAAAAGAAGAAAAATACACAAACCAAACTTAGTACCTCGAGACCAAGAAATTGTATGTGATTAGAATGAAGCTCATAGTGCATAATATATTTATGACAAATACTAATCTTAGTTCATAAAGTATTCATTCTAGATTCAAATCCCCCACCCAATTATGTAAAAAAAAGAAGGAAAAAAAAACGATTAAAAATATATTTCTCTCTCTAACCCTCTTTTATCTCTCTAATACCATACACTAACTAGTAAAATACTACCATAAACCCTAGTCCTTAATTAATATAATTGAAGAAAATTCAACCAAAAAACCCTTGAAATTGACAGTCAGAATATCTTTGATTAATTTTCCCCTACATATATATATATATATATATATATATTTTTTTTACTTTATGAAATCACCAACCGGAGCTCTGTTGAAGATGAGCCGCCATGGCTCGACCTCGATTTCCTTCTCCATTTTCATGGACGCCACTCACATTGAAACCTCTAAAATTTTCCCCAAATCCCACGCCGTCGATTATGTTGAAGCTCTTCTGAGCCGTCTGATTTTGGTTCCCCAGCGAATAAAACCCGGAATTGAAATTCTGAAAATCCATCACCGAACTGGCGGATTTTCCCCCGATGATTTGTTCGGCGGAACCAGGCGGCGGCGCCTGATCGTCCTGTCTGGCGAAGGAATGTTTCTCCTCCTCTGTTTCTCTGTATTTATTGAGATAAATCTTCAAAGGCGCGACGTAATTTTCAAACCCTAGAGTGGTCATGGCCCAGAGCAAATCGTCGCCGTTGATCGTCTTCCGCTTCTCCCTCTGGCACTTGTCGGAGGCCTCGCCGGTGATGAAGCTGATGAACTCCGACACGCATTCCTGGACGGTCTCTTTGGCCTCTTTCGAGATCTTGGCGTTCGCCGGAAGGGATTTTTTCATGATCCGGCTCACGTTGGCGATCGGCAGGAACCGGTCCTGCTCCTTCGTGGAGCTGTCGGAGATGTCGCCGGAGGTCGGGCTGCCAACGGGACTGACGGCGGCGGCGGTGGAGTTTCGCTTGTGGCCGCTCATGGCGGAAGAGATTGGCTGGAGTTGGAGGAGGAGGAGGAGGAGGAGGAATTCCGGTGGGTAGTGGTGGTGGAAGGTGGGACTGCGGTGGGGGGTTTTAAAGGTGGGACGGAGGAAGGGAAGAGGCGGAAATTAAATAAATTAAATTAAATCAAGAGGAAAGGCGGTTTGATTTTGACACAAAAAAAAAAAGAAGAAATAAAATAAAATATTGGTTATTAGAATAATAGCAAAGAATGGTCTTCCCAGAGGTGGAATCTTGGTAATAAGGAACAATATTTTTTTCTTCCCTAAATTCTTCTCTCTATTGTTCTTAAAAAGTACTTGTTATATGTATTTTTTCCTAAGTCCCATTTTTCATATATATAATAATTGGATGAATTTTATAGATTTTGAGTTCAACGAGACTGAGATCGAAATTTCCGACTTTTGATCTTGAAGAAAAAAAAAAGTTAAATGTACGAGGAACTTCTATATCAATACTATATATATTTTAAAAGAAATTTTATGCTTGTAAAAATTTTATTTTCAATCTTTTAATTTTTCATTGAAAACACTATTTCGATGTTTATTTTATTTTTTACCGTTTGAAATTGGGGTGAAAATGGAATAAATTATTCGAATGAGATTTATATTTCCATGGAAGTAAACTAAGGGAAGTCACATAAATGATAAAACATATCGTAAAAAAGTGGAATAATAAAAAGGTTATCTTTTGACCAAAACCTCCCCTCTGCACGTCCACTTCTCCTCCTTATCTTGGTTTTCTTTTTTTCCATTTCTTCCTAACAAAATTAACCATTTTTTTTTTTAATTTTTCAGATCACTGAAATGAAGATTCGAAATTTCAACTTTTTATCAAAGATATATGTCATAATAAATTGAGGTATGTATAAATTTTATCAACTTTTTTTAATAAAATGTTGAATTGACTTTACCACCTTAATTTATCTAAAATTTTTGTGTGTTATCTTAATTAGTTGGTCACATCAACATTTAAATAACAATAATTTGTTATAAGCCAATATTAGTATAACTTATGTAACTTGTTTCTCAGAGATTGGAGCTTCAAATTCCTATATTCCCATAATTACTAAATATAAATAAAACTTTGATATGTTTGGAAATTAAACAAACGCAATCATGAAAATTTTAACTAACTTGAAACAACCACTCCTTTTTGAGAAAAAAATATAAATTGACTCGACTCATACGTCGTGTTTATTTCTTTTTGATATAACTTGTATACAAATTATAGTACATTTTTTTCTTTTTAAACAAAACATTACAAAGGTAGAAGTGAGGATGAGGATTTGCAGTAATAATAATGATAATAACTAAAAAGGTAGAATATTAAAAAATATATATATTAAAATATGAAGATACGAGTAATATATGATATGAGATTTAGGTTAATTAAAAGCGAAATGTCAAAGGGATTCACTTTTTGGTGACAAGTTTGATGGATCCAAATTGTTCATCCAAATTGGTGGGGGCCGAAATTAAAATTCCTATAATCAACTCAAATGGTTCGCCTAACTTTGCCTTCTTGGAGATTATTTATACACCGAGGGTTTGAAATGACAATTCCTCTTTTTATCTTATAATATGCCTCTAGAATTATGTTTAGAGAAAGGTTTCTCATTTGCTTAACCTTAAAGTTATAATTAAACTTTCACATCAAATTAAATCATGGGATTAAGCAAAGCCTGTGGTTAATTGCGGTTGGATAAGGCTATTTATGTAAGTAGTGATATTCTTCTCAAGCTGCGTTTAGGTGTAATTTCGTGGTGTAACTTATCAATTTGTTATGGGATAATTTTCTGTTTTTCTTTTTTTATTATAACATCTGAAAGTGGGAGATCGAATTCACACTATCTTGGTGGGAGATATATACCAATTATTGCTGAGATATTTTCTAATTTAATTTTAAGAATATGTATTAGTTTCACAACTCGTTCAAATTTAGGATTTATAAAGTTGAAAGTTTAAGATTAAAATGGAGGTTATCTTAATTTTTACTATGATGCTCTAAGTGAAACTTTTTAAAACCACTCACTACTCTTTATTAGAAAATCCCTTTTAGAATTTGAGATAAAATCTTTATATTATTAATCTATAAATTTATTTTCTAGACTCGACATGTCTATTTAGTTTGTAAACTTCGAAATAATAATGAATATTTCACATGTACTAAATATATATAGGCTGGTTTGATACAACACGACAAATACATGAAAGAAACAAGTGGATAATTAGGTAGACTAAACAGGTTCTTCGTTCGTCTTGATCCATGCGATCCTTGACAATCGTATGCGTTAATGTAGTAATCATATCAGTAACTATAAATCCAAAAGATTGTATATCCAGGCCTTCCAACCTATTTTAGTGGAAAGACGTGCTATTTGTTTACATTCATTAGTCTGTAAGGGATTCAATGCAGCGAGTTAAGCGAGTTCCTTTTTTTTTCAAAGGAGGTCCTTTTCTTTCTCCGGACTTGGCTTGTACCAGGCTCTAAAAGAGTTTTCTTCAAGCGAGCTGTCTTTCGCCCAACCAGCAACTAAAGCTGTATGGGATTTCCCTTTTTTTTTTCTGATTGCAGCAAATACCTCACTTTTCAGAAATAAGAAATTTGAGTATCGAGATGGTCGGTAACTTGTCACTTTTGTCGTCCTAGTTGATCCTAGAGAACAAAAACAAAACCCAAAATCGAATCGAAGATTTATTTCTATAAGAAAAAGATAATGTTTACTATTCTTTTTGAAGAAAAGAGGAGAAGATAGAGAAGGAACCTTGACCAAAACATTGAATTGGGAGCTAAATAATGGGTGTACTTAAAAATACTTACATGCTAATTCTGTCCTTTTGGAGACATTGGGATATTTTAGTAAAGGGCTTTTGGTTTGGGCGTAATTTAAATTGTACCAATGGCAATATGGAATGGTATAAATGAACTTTGTACGGTCCAAAAAAGGAGGATACAAATTAAAGAACACAGACACTCCCCCAATTGCATGTGCTTCACTTTCTTCCATTTTTTCTTTTCTATAAAATTATAACAAATATGCAAAATTGTAAACATATATTTAGGGCTTTCGACTAGTACTCTAAAGATGCCCATGTTGACTGTTGGAGAGAATTTCTCACCATTCACGTGTCGACATTTGATCTACTTAATGATGATGAGTCAACATAGTGACTCTCATATGTAAAAGAGACCATAGTCTCAGACCTATAAAGATCGGGTCGAACTAATAGGTTGAGATAGTCGAGATCATGTTTCGTATGTCAAGCCAACTGAAGTCTCATATCTCGGCCGCGTAAGCCATCAGTCGAGCTAAGTCCAAATTTATATCTCGGACGACTGAGTTATTAGCTGAATCGATTGTACTTCCACAGACACAAAATTCAAACACCATCCACAACAACATGTCGCGATTCTCGTGTTGTCAGAGAGTTATTGGAGGAAGCCTTGTTGGAGCTATTTAGTAAGGTTTTAATTTATAAACTTTTATGTTAATTTCATTTTTTATTCCTGTTTTAGGCCACTATTTTTGTATAATATTTTTTTGTTTGTTTTTTTGTGTGAATTATTTAATTGAAATATAATATAGAAAAATTTTCTTTGTTTATCTGATGATTATTATATAGAAAAATATTTGAAGTCATATTATATAGTAAGTTAAATGTGAAATTTTGAAATATAGTTCAAAACTCGAGATAATGAAGACATAATTAAAAATTAAGGATTGTCTAAAAAAAATTAAAAATTAAGGGAATAAAATATAGCATATAAAAATTTAATAGATTTCTTCAAGCATATGATTTAAAACCAAAAAAAAAATAAATATAAATACTTAGTAAGAGATTAGATATATATCTTATGATGATGATCAATAAGTTATGTCCAACTAATTTATATTTATTATACCATGAAAATATATTTAAAAAGATAAGGCCACACAATAAAATTTCTTCATTAAACATAGCGTCTTCTTAATGAAGCATATAATTCTTAGTTAGATAAACATCATTTAATACTTTTGTACTTGTTTATTCGCTTCTAGATTCTTAATATCCATTAATCAAACATGTATATATTTTAACAATGTTTAATTTCCTTTAATAGTAATTTAATACATTAAGTTTTTTTTTTCTTTTTTAATCAGATTTACTAGTCATTTTATTATCTTTGATTCTTTTTGTTCAACAAATACCGGAGGAAGAGACATTTGATCATATTGAATATATTATTTTATCTAAAACTATTATGTATTTTATTAAAATTTTAATACTAAATATTGTAAAACCAAACAATAAAAGGCCATTCGATAACTTCTTTGTTTCTTTTGTTCAAAATACTAATAATAATAACAACTTATTTGTTTCTGTTTCTTTTACCTTTTCTAATTTAGTTTAGTTTTGGTTTTCTTTCTTCGTGTAAATTAAGCAAAAATGTATTTAGTACCTAAATTTTCATTTTTTGTCTTTTAAAAATCAAATTAAAATTTATAGTCTGACTTGAAAAATAAACACTTAAAAATATTATGTTATACTAATTTTTCATTTTACAAGTAAAAAAGTATACCAAATGCATACATTTAAAATAAAAATGTTTCCAAACTTACCCTAATTTTCTTATCAAATACCTCATTAATTTAAGTGCTTAGTAGATGAAAAGTCATAAAAGTTATTCTTCAAAAAAAAAAATCATAAAAAATTAATATTAGTTGGTTTTTTTCCTTTTTTTAGTACAACATAGTACTTAGTAGATGAAAAGTCGTAAAAGTTATTCTTAAAAAAATAATAATAAAAATTAATATTAGTTTTTTTTTTCAGTATAACAGGTGGAATAGAAGATCGAAATCACACCTTGTTAATTGAAGATATATGCTAACTAACGTTCCATTTTTGCTTGATATCAAATATTTTCTTTATATAAAAAAATGAACAAAAGTCTAATATCAATTAAATTAAGGGGGTGAAAAAGAGCCTTGTGACAGATGGCAACATTTAGCAACTTCATTTACTAATTCATAGCACTGTTTTAATCATTTAAGTAATATAACGACCAAATAAATTCCGAATTTGTCTCTTCCTTTCTGTTTTTTT